CTTGTTGAAATGCCACGCTTGCTCAGGCCACCTTGTGCTGACTCTTGCTGGGGTGTTGTACTTCCGTACTGGAGCTGGGCCTCGGTCAGACCGCAAGCTTGGCCGTGTCCACATACCTAGCAGCCTTCCCCAAGTCTGTCCTCCTCCTCCTCCGTCTCTGCCTGGGATGGGTTTAACTCGGAGAAAAGCAGCGGTGCTTCTCCTGCGTGCGTGCGTTTTCACATCCATGGGATCACAGCCCAATAATCCATCCCCGTGCGGATTGATTAAGATGCCACAAATTTGTTAGCGAGTTAAACAGGTTGTTTTCTCCCTTCCTCTGCCCGCGCAATTATTCCTGCTTCCTTTCCTTAAATGAGGTTTTGCTGCTCCTGCACAAAGAGAGCTCCCGGCAGGGCGGACTGCCGAAGGACTTCAGGCTCTAGTACATGTGATGCCGGTAGCTGTGGTTTGTCTCTTCCCCCCTCCACACCCCTTTATTTCAGCTCCCAACATTTTGTGGCAAGAATGAGAGCTTTTTTTAAAACAGCGGGGAGAAGGCAAAGCGGCCCAAGTTGGTAGCGACTGAGAGTTGTTATTATCCGCCAGCATCCATGAAATTAATCCACAGCAGAGAAACTGCTTCCAGCTGGCGGCTGCCGGCCGAAGGGGCTTCGCCCCCACCCCAGCATCGACCGACCGGCTCACCGGCTGCTCTTCGTTAACAATAAATGAATCCTCCAGTGATTGCTCGTGGGAGGGGGGTATCAGACGCAGTTCCCCAAGTTTCACGTGGATCTGAGCAGTTTATTTCCAGTAAGATGATTTTACTCCTGCGGGTCAGGGAGAAGTGGAAGTGTTAACAGCCGGGTTTGGAAGATGACGTGGAAAGGGAGAAAAAGAGCAGAGGTCTGGAGATGCAGGTTGTCTCCTGGGAGGTATTCATCAGTGCCTTGCTAGAGAGGAGCGTGCGATAAATGAGTCGTTGGCTTTAAATGAAGCTGCTGCGACTGGGTAAGATGCTTCTGTGCACTATATGTAACTTGTAAAAGCACCACCGCGATTCAACTGCTGGGGTATTTTTTGTTGGAAGACGTGAAAAGTATGTGGGTTTGTGGGCCCTTAAAATACAGGAGCAGGGTAAGGGAGAAATAACTGCCTAATTGTTAAATAGAAAGCCATCCCGGCCCCCTGATTTGGCATCTCTGCTGAGCTGCGAAACTTGAGTCTAAACCAGGCTGGAAGAGTGAAACTCAGGTTTCGCTTCTAATGCCACCGTGATATAAATTGCAGAAAGTAGCTCGTTTGGATTGGTTTGGGGAGCGATGCCTTTGGCATGAGCCAGCATCAGGATAACTCAGTTTTTCCTTCATTTACGCTGGCTCGCTTGGCTGATGTCAGGGATTTCTTCTCATGGATTTACACCAGCATCAGGAATTAATCCAGCCCAAGAACATCCCGGGAAGGATATCTTAGTATTTCTGGCAGAAGGAATACCCACGTACAGCTGAGTTAACAACAGCAACTCATCTCTTTGTCCCGTGCTCTGGTTTTAGTCATGGAATCGCAGGCAGAGAGCGCAGGATGGACACAAAGCCCTGCTCTCGATGCCCTTCCCTGGCCAACCTCCCCTCACCGATTTGGGGCAGGGGTAGCGTAAAAATAATCCGCAAAAACGTCAGGCACCGTCTCCGAGACTCTTCTTGCTTTCACAGGAACAAACGGTCAAGTTTCATCATCTGGGGTTTTATGCCCTTCAGGTGCGGGATTACAGGAACTGCACCCCCATCTTGCGATGTGCTCTGTGTGTGTGAGGAGGAAGCTGCTCACCCAGAGCCCGGGCAACTCAGCAAGCCCCAGCACCTGCAGAGTGCAGGATTGCACCCGTCACATTTATCTCGTAGCAGGGACCAGGCAGTTCAGGCTCAGGTGCCGGGGACAGAGCCCTTTGCTGGTGGCTGCTGTCACCTGCTGAGACCAGCACTCTCCATCTCATCTCACCTTCCCTCTCCTGGGTCGCTCAGCTGGGGCAGGCGAGGGCTCGGGGTCACGAATCCTCTCTGCGGATGCTCCCGAGTGCCGGCACAGCTGGGAAAGTCCTGCCTGGTGTAGAGGGAACCCCCGTGCACGGCTCCTTTCAGGCGGATGGCTCCAACCAGGGCTCCTGGGGAGAGGGTGAGCTGCAAGACCACCCTGCAATGCCATGGAGGGGAGATTACTGTCCCCGAAGGGTCGAGAGCTGGGGAGCAGGCAGCGCCGGCTGCCAGACGAGCTCTGCCCAGCTTTGCAGCTCTGCCGTCGCAGAAGTGCGGGCATGAGCCCCGACTCCAACGAAAACGGTTACTGGGGCAGGTGATTTTTTCAGAGGTGGATGTTAAGTGCTGCATCTTCACAGAGAGTACTTTTATTTTAAAACCAGGGGAGACGGGGTAGTTATCACTCTGCAGAGTACCGGGAGAGGCCACGGATAGACATATTTGCCCTGTGATCTCAGATAGCCTTTCTGCCAGGTAGGGAAAAAAACCATGGCAAAAATTCATCTGCAAAGCAAAAAAAAAAAAAGCTTCAGGAGTAAAAATATTTTGGTAGCTGTTGGTCGGGAGTCACTCGAACGAACTCTTCGTACAGCTACGTCCACGCAAAACCGCTACGAGGGAGGTTAAAGTCTGTGCCTTTATCTAAAAATGACATCAAAAGGGTGCTTGATCAGGAAACCAGCAGGTCTATATTTGTGCAGCAATTGATATTTGCTGAACTCGCAGATCACAACTGAATACAACTTCCTGGCAACCTAAAAAGTCAAGTTTAAAAAAACCCACACGGTCCCGCCTCATTTCCCGGAAAACTTTTTCATGCTCTGTCATCCTGTATTGTGGCCGTTTCAAGCGCAGCTCGGTACAATTGAAATAACTTCTACAAAGGGCACCAAGGATGTTACAGGTTTCCACTTGATTTTCTTTTAGGTGATACACGGTTTATTTGAGTTTCTTGTTCCCAGTCTGCACCTGAGCCTACCTGCAAAGCCAAGCCTCTTCCCGACCTTAGCGGGGATCAAAATAAATGTGGGTGCATGGGATATTTAATCTGTTTTTCCTCTTTTTTATGGCTGTGAGTTCCCTCTTCAGAGTAACAGCTCACCCCGGCAGCAGCCGCTGTCCAAGGGCGTGTTTGCTGGGAGTCTGGGGCATGAAAACAGATTTGTAATGAGGCTTTTCTCCAAATTTTTGGAGCTTGTCCGTATGCACTCGCTCTGTCCTGGCCACGGGAGTGTCCAGCTCCGACTCCTTTCCATGCACGTGGGATTTCCTCGTGTTTTGAAACATGATGTCTGAGCTCCAGCCACTCTGGTTTGGTTTTTTTTTTTTCCTCCTATAGAAAAGGTTTCATTCAGCAGCTAAGGAGGGCCATTTGGGGATGGTTGGGGCTCTGCCTTTGTCAGCATCCTCTTTTTGTGCAAATGTGCTGGCTTTCTGCAGCAGGATTGCTGCAGGCTGGGATGTGGAGGAAACCGAATCTCGGGGGACAGCGGGGTTCCTGGGAGGAGGCTGGAGGGTTTGGGGTTGGCCTCTCTTTACAAGTCACGGGGTCGGCGAGGTGTTTGTGTAAGGGGATTTGGCTCAGCGAGGGATTCCCCTCGCCTTGCTCTGGGCAAAGAGGCTTGTTGAGGGGTCTGTGGGGTGTTGAGAGCAGCAGGGTGTTCCAAGGGAGGGGAAAGGGGGATCCTGCCTTTGCAAAGGCTCTTCCAAGGCACTGGAGAGGAGGAAAACTCTCATCTTTAACCGAGTCTGCTGGTGAAGGCAGTCAGCTAATAAGCCTGACAGCCCCCGCTCCCCGTCTTAGGTTTCCTGTCTCTGTTTGATGAGAATATTGATACTGGATATTTCTGATGGTTTTTTCAAAGCAGGGAAGTTATGCATCTGGCTTTTAGCAGACCTGGAAAGTCAGCAGCCTCCCAGTGCAGGATGCTGGGGCTCCCCGTGCTGCTGCCGGCAGGCGAGAGCAGGCTGTGACGAACAGCAAGGAGCTAAAGGCAGGACAGAAAACCCAAAAAACCACTCTTGGTGCTGCCTTCTCTGCCGTTCCTTCCCTCTGCCTATGAACCACACAGGAACCTGCTAGGAACATTTTAGTGCAGATGTGATCAAGGCCTGGCCCTCGTGCCGTGGATTTGCCCACGGGAACAGGTTTGTGGGCAATGGCCAAATGTAGAGACCTAGAGGAGAAGCTTGCAGAAGTGGCCGTGGGCTAAAATATGGGCGTTGCTAGTGATGCCAGTAGGATCTGTCCTCCTGGGATTCATCAGAGAGCTGGAGGAGCAAAGTGGAGAGGAGGGTGCTCATTTTCAAGGTGCACTTGGTACACAAGTGAGCAGGGAGTACCTCCACAGAGAGGGGAGCAGAGCCACTGGGGAAGCAGAGGAGCAAGGTGGACTTGCTGCCATCCCAACAGTGTCCCCAGGGGTGGCCAGGGTCCATGCCCCCTCCTCGGTCCTGTGGGAGCCGTTTGAGTTTTCCTCTGGAAGATGCCAGTCTTTTCCCTTGTGACGTGGTGGGGAGGGACCACGTTTGGTGGGTGCTGAGGTCTTCTCTGGGCAGGCTTTCTGATGACCTTCATTAAAGGGATGGAAAGTGCTTTTGATGTAATTCCTTCTCCCTTCTGTCCTTGCAGGATACAAAGGAGGAGGCCTCAGAGAAACCAAAGCCTGCTCCAACCGCAGAGAAATATGGCTGGATTAAGAAAAGCAGTGGAGGGCTCCTGGGATTGTGGAAGGATCGTTACATCCAGCTACAGAAAACACAGCTCGTGGTCTATGAGGATGAGGTATGGTCACAGCTAACGGTCTTGAATGAGGGACAGGATGAGACCCTTGGCAACAGACGTTCCAGTGGTTTTCAAAAAAAACCAGCCCACTCCTTTCAAAAGGGCTTCTCCGGTTATCTCCAGGAAGGGTAAATGCTGTAAAGAAAAGACAGCAGCTGCATTTTAGAGTATATTATATATAATAAATATTTTAGCCAGTAAATATTTTGACACTGCCATTGCCAAAGAAAAAAAATGAGGGCAGGACATCCTCTGAGAAGGCGAACCGAGTAAAGCTTTGGGCGGAAGCAGGATACGTGCTATGCGGTTTTGGCGTTTAAAGGATAAAAGTGGATTGTAGCAGACTGACTTCCCACCTGCCGGTTGAGGGAACGGCAGGCAACCCTGCAGCTGTTTGGCACCCCTCAAGCAGCTCAAATTGTTGCTAGCCAGACTCTTCAGGGTTTCGTTTAGCCACTGATGGACACAGGGTGGGATTGTGTGTGCTTGCTGTCCTCCTTAAGCAGGGACACAATCTGGATTTGGCTCATCTTTTCCCTTTACTTGAGCCAGTACTGAGCGAAGGACCCCTGGGAGCCTTCTCCTGGACTTCCCTAGATAAATTGCATGCCTTAAGTTCATGGCCTCGTTTAGAGCTGTTTCCAGTCAAATGAGAAATAAGAGCCAAGCCAAATCTGTCCCGCATCTTCATGCAAGAAGAATGGAGAGTGCAGGGCTGGTCCTGCCGGGCTGCAAAAGTGGCTCTTTCCTGAGTCAGGCCCTCGGTACCTGGGCTGGAAGGGGCTTCTGCAAGAGCAGAGTTTGCCCCAAAAGTTCGAAATTACAGTGCAGAGCACAAGCTACAACCAAGAGAGGTTTGAGATTAGGGGTGGGTAGGTCTAAGCCCTGCTGGTGTATGGCAGCTAGAAGTTCATGTGTGCATCAGGATGGAGGAGCATTTCTCACCGCGTGGTCTGCACAAGGACCACGTGCCTGTGCGGTGTCTGACACAAGGGGATCTGGGTCATCCGTGGGCATCAGGATGATATAAAAGCAAAATGATGTAAAGCTTCATGTGCAGCGTGTCAAGGGAAGAAGGATGGGGAAATGTTTCAGCGGCTGCATTGCTGCGATGGTTTCAGGAACAACAGGACTGACAGTGAGCTTAGTTTTAGCTCTTCTTTTTAAAAGCATACTATTGCCTAATAAAGAAGATTTGTTATAAACAGTTTGGGTTAAAGGGTATTACCTCCTCCCATACGCTGAACCCTGCTGCTCTTCTCGAATCCCAAAGCTTTCCGGAGGGCGTTTGTTCTTAGTTTTGAAATGTCATCAAGAGTGCAAGAATAATGAAATAAGAAGTCAATGTCAGGTGATGGGCAGTGTGGAAGGCAGGCAAAGTGGTGGGGGTTTCTCTTACGTGGAGAGATGCAGCCTGGTCTTGCAAACCGTTGACTCTCTGCGGATTGCTTCCCAGTGCCTCGGCCACTTGTTGACTCCAGCTGAAGCTTCAGGAACTCGCAGATTCAAAATCTATAAACATGACGTAGGCTTTTTTTAAAGGGCATGCCTTTAAAAACAAGATATATGGGGGCCTTCATTACCACAAGGGAAAAGGAGGCTTTTAAAGTAAGATTAATTTTCACAGACGTTCAGAAGAAGGAAAAATCCCAATCATTTAAAGGGTTATTTTATTATCTCAACAAGGAAAATGGCATTTGTAACAACCAGGCATAATGTTTTCTGGTAGCCTGCGGATTGTGGTAACATCCTGTAATAAATTGCATCTGTAAGCTACAGTAGCTACAAGGTCCCATTATTGTAAATAAGGGATCATGTTAATATCTATAGGCTATTAAACTGGCTTACAGTGAAGTCAGATGTCTTAGGAGAGGAAATTGCTACAAAATTATCTGGTAGCACAATAGGATAGCATGTGATTGTGCAGACTTACTACAGGGGAACTAAAGGAAATGGCAATTTTCTGCACTCAGGAGGGGTCCTGTTGCCACAGAATTGAGGCAGTTCGTGTTTATTACTGTATTTATCTTCCTTTAACGTGAGTTAGGGCAGTGTTGCTGTCTCCATCTTACAATTGGGGAACTAAGTTTTTGAGAAGGGAAGGGCCAACGTCAAAGGAAAGTCTGTGGCGCAGCGTGCTACGGTGGCTTTTATTTCTGGAGCTCAAGCTGCCATTTTCGCCACCGGACCTTCTCCACATCCCTGCTTTGTGTGACCCTGGAGACAGGCACGGCATCCCAGACCATCCTTATGCTGAAACATTTTAAAATGGGATCGTTCAGTGCTTGCTGAATTGGAGCCCTAGAAAAAGAAAGGAGCTAAAGGCTCAGGCATCAGAAATACAAGCATTTTTCCATATGTATCCTAAGTTAGACCTAAATGGGTTAAATGGGAGGGAGGTCAGCCTCCATGTGGGAGGGCAGGTTTAGAGGCTGAGTGTTTCAGCTGGTCTGAGCCCATCAGATTTCCAGGAACTGAGCAAGTGACTTGGACTGGCTGTGCTTTTATCACTCCCTCATGTGTTGGAGCCCTTCACGAAGAGGTGCTAATATTGCCTTTAGCAGTTGTTTCATATGCAGGCACGCTTGTTTCTGCAGTTGCATGAGGCTGGCTGCACTTGTAGCTGAGGTTTGTGTGTGCAAAATGAGAGCAGACGGGCTGGCCAACACAAGATGCAGGCAGTAACGTTGTACCGTGCCACCGGAAAGTACGGTCTGAGCAGAAGACAAATACTGTATTTATCGTCATCAAAAGCAATCTCCTGGAATGTGCTCCTGACCTGCTCTGGGAGTGTGTTTCCCCTATTGCATCTGTTAGCCAGGCTTTGGGGTTGGTTTAAAGCAGAGCTACCTCCCGAAGGCAAATTGCAAATGGCTATTGCATTACCTGGAGCAGATGGGGGGGTGAAAGTCATCCCACCGGGCTTCAGGTTTCTTTCAACGGATGTGAAATGAAGGGAGATGGATTTCTTGTTATCTGCTCTGCCTCCATCTACAGCACCCTACATCTGCACCCGCACGTAAATGAAGACTCAGTTAAGCAAGATGTTTGTATGATGTTACATATCCAAAGGTCAGGAAAGGAGGCGCCGATGCAAATACGTACAGCTCTGGGGTGCTCAGATCCTGAGAAACTACTCGGGAATCTCAGGGAAGGCAGGTTGTGGGCAGGCCCGTGCAGAACCAAGCAGATTATTTTCTAACGGACTTTCTTGTCTTCTTGTCTCTGCATAGTCTTGCCAGAATAAAAATTACGCCTTGCAAAACTACAGAGAGCATCTGAAGAACAGGCAGTCCTATGCAGAGAGGCTACACAGATCACTATCGTCACTCCATGGATTAGAGAGCATCAGTCTTGGGTTTGGGTTTTTTTTACCCTAAACAGTGCAGCTAGTTGTTAGAGTTGGGTTGTTTTTTTATTGTTTTGGGGTATTTTTTCAGTGTATTATTTGACAGGGGAAAAGCTACTAGACAAAGGATCTTCTTGAGACCAGAGCATCCACTCGGCATTTAACAGTCGTGCGGTTAACCTCTGCTATGTTGCCCCTGGTAGAGTGATAGCAATGTGTACGCAAAAGTGATTTATTAAAACAGTTTGAGATCCTCAGATAGAGAAGTAAGTTATTATTTCAGGCAGTCTAGACTTTGTACACTGTGAATGGAGGGTCACGGCCCAGGAATGTGTGTCAGTGAAGAGGTCTTTGCTGGAAATTCATATAAATAAAAATTTCAGTGAGTCTTTTTTCCCCTTTTTATCAACTTTTGATTAAGGAAATTGTTTGCCAAGAGTGATTCTTTGGTTAAGCACATGCATTAATATGTTTAGGTGTTCAGTAATTTTCTTCTTCAGGGCCAAGCTTAGACACATACATGTTTAAGTCGCAGCATCTGCTCCATTAATAGCTAATGGAATTGGTTTTCTGCATTAAATCATGAATGTAGGGGTTTCTGTACCAGGATTTTAAGCATCTTACTGAGTGTCCCTTACAGCAAGCACAAAAGCAATTTAAAAAACAAGCCCTAAAATCTGTAGAAGAAAAGAGAAAGGTGGCCAGAAGGGAATTCCCTGCCTTCATCAAGTGCAGCCCTGTGGGACAACCCCACGAGGGAGGTGTGACCACCGAGTTGAGGACTCTACCTCTGTGTCTCAAGATGATCTAAAAGGATTGTTTTAACTTCTTTGGGACACTAGAGACCAAATGGAGTGGGACCTTGTCCAGAACGCGTGTCTGACACCTGGGTGTTGGGGCAGGACTCTGGAAGTGACCTTGTCTCTTGTGTGATGCTGAGAATCCTCCGGGTCCCAGGAGGTTGAAGGGACCCGGAGACCTGTGGCAGGGTCAAATCTTTCAGTCTTTATCGTAGTGGTGCAGAACAAACATAAAGGATCTCTTTGTGACCCAGGTAGGCTCATGGAGAGGGGATGGCCGCTTGCCAAGGGTAAAACAGAGACAAAAGCCCCATTCTGGTGCTCCTTGAACTCAGATGCTTTTCCTTTGCCTCAGACGTGGAGTTTTCTAATTTCTCTGGCTGCTTTCTTCCCTGCCTTCCCTGAAGAGGAGAACTTAATTGGGAAGTTTGGGTCTCTGAGATGACGGAGCCATAGCTTGCACAATCAAGCCAGTGCCCCTGGGAGGCAGGGTCCTGCATGTCCCCGTCCTCGTTGCCCTTGTTCCCTGGCCAGACCGTAGTCCTCGGAGCTTTCCCAGGGAGGAGAGGGGCAGCTGGAAGGCACGAGGTGATGTCAGGGCAAACCCACAGCTCTCCACCCTGCTACGTCCTTCTTGTTCCCCACCTCGGTACTCCACCGTTCTTAGGAAGCAGAGGATGGCTTGCACGGGCACAGAGGGAAGGTTCCCCTCCAAAAGGCAGAAAGGATGGCGTGGACAAGGAGGGTGACACAGAGCCACTGGGCTCTGCTAGGGACGGAGCTGCTCTGGAAAATGGGGAGCTGGGCAGGAGTCTTTGTGCTGGTCTCTGGTCATAGTGCTGCCAAGCCACCTACGTCCTGAGCCCAGCAAACTTTCATGTCGGAGCTGGTAACCGCACCGGCGGCCGTGCGGCAGTGCTGTAATGTGGGCGGTCGTCCACCAAAGGCCAGGATGAGATCACTCATCCCCGAGGCATGTATTCCTGACCTCACCCTTCTCTGTCATTTGCTGGCCGCGGAGGGGTTATTATTTCCATCCCTGTCCTTTTTGCAGTGACATTGCGATACCAGGATTGCAGCAGGAGCCTTGTGCCTTCATAGGGCTGTCAGCAGGATTTTATCTGCTAGGTTTTAAGTTTGGGCAGGATTAATCTCCGCCTCCTAGTAAACATTTTCCCAGTTCTCTGGTCATGTTCACCTACTCAGTGTTAAATGAATTAAACAGTAATGTCATTAAAATAATAAACCTAAATTAGATCCAGACATCCCTCAGTGGCTCAGAACTTGCTCTGCCTACTGGCATTGGCTCTGCTGGGCCCCCATCCCCAGATAGGAGAGTGAAAAAAAACTAAACGCAGCCTGAGCTCTGCACAGCGACTTAAATGTCAAGTGGTAAAGGGAGGAAATTCCCCGCAGCCCACTTCCCTCTGAACTCTCCATTCCCTGCCTCCAGCCACGCAGCAGCTTCCTGGCTACGACACGTTTCCTCATCCCACACCCCCTCTCTGCTACAGGAATTACTAAATACAAGCTCATATGGGTACGAGGAGCTGGGGCTGGCCATGGCCAGCGGTTTTGATTCAGGATGCTAATAGAGAGGTTCATGAGGCACGCTGACCGTAACACTGCCCTGTGATTCTCACTGCGTGTTTGTGTAATGCTTAGCAAAAAGGAGCTTTGGTCTCTTCTGGGCTACTGAGACACAAAGAATATTATCTGCCCAGCGTTACGCTGTGATTCCTATTAGGGATGGTGCTCCGCAGCTGAACTGAGCCACGCACCACGTGTGGAATTTTAGTTATGTTACGGGGAGAAATGAGCCAAGATCGTGGCCGGCAGTCATCAGTGGAGATACACCAGAGATAAATATTCCCCACTGAGACGCTGGCCCTGATAGTTTTGCTGGCTGTATGGGACGATATTTCCAATCCTAAGCGTTTTGACGGCTCAGAGCGTGGCTGCAAGAGGAGCCGCATGTGCTCCCGCTGACCTTTTTTTGCCATGAGGACCAGCCTGCCCCAGCTCAGCGCGGCAGCAGGGCTCCCTTCTTATCTCCACTCTGCCTTGGGCTTCCTGGGGGGCTGCTTGGACCATCGTGATGCTCCTGTCATCTTCCCTGTGAAAAAGCAGAATAATGTCTCCAGCGTTCATTGTTGGGAGGAGGTAGTGTCGCTTCGGGCTGCAGATCCCTGGATGAGGCCAACGGAGATGGCAGAAGCTGGTGTTACTGTCCACAATGTGTTATTTGCTCAGCCACTGTGGACCACTAGCCGTGAATCGTCCTGTAGCTTAAAGACTAGGGTGTCTTCTTAGTGAGATGCCAACCTGATTTATGGGGGCTTGCTGTCTGCATGCAGGTTATTTTTAAGGCAGAAGAGCTTTTAGACAGATGCAAAGGGAAGACATGCAGAGTTTTACGGAATATGATTGATTTCAGTGCCTCCTATTCATAATAATGTTTCATTCCCTCTCTGCAGGATGAACAGAAGTGCATAGAAACAGTGGAACTGGAGAGCTATGACAAGTGCCAGGAACTGCGTGCGCTACTAAAAAAGAAAAACCGTTTCATTTTAATCCGCTCCCCGGGTAAGAAGGTAGGATTGCCTTTCTCATCACCCTCCAGTCTGCTAACTCCAAAATGAGCTCCCAGGCATCTGCGCCCAGAGCAGATGAAAGGCTCTGAGATTTAGCTCTTTGACAGCTGGGAGAAATGACCTATGGCTGTGAATGGTCTACAGTCTGTAAGGAGGAACGCTACTGTCTTGTAGACTTTCATCTTGTCATGGGGAAAGGGTCTTCCTGCAACTCAACTTTTTCCTCTTGATATTTTTCCTGCCTCATCATTTTCTTTCTTCCAGTACTCCCTGAGCAGTGGAGAATGACCATTCCCTGTGGTTCCCCCATGTGCTCTGGGTGAGGAAGCATCCCTGTCCCAGCTGTACCTGCCGCAGCTTTGCCCAAGTTGCAGTGAAATCAATGATCCCGATCCGTGTACTGAGACAGTGCCTGGAGTTGGAGCTGTTGATCTGAGAAACTCCAGTGCAAAGTTACTTGCAGCCGAACAGTTCCTAGGAGAAAAGATTTATTTTGCAGAATTCGTGAAACGCTACATCTTTAGCTTCTTGCACAGCATCTGGTTAGATCCAGAACCTAACAGCCAGGCTGGCGTTGCAAAGAAGCTATACATCCATCTGAGCACTGACTCTATGCAAGGACACGCTTGCCTTACTTCCTATGTAGGTTCATCAACACTACACATCTTTGGAAATTCTCCTTAGTTCCTACTTATGTGCTATCCATTTCAGCATCTTTATGGGCTAGGATGCTTCTGTTGTTGCTTTGAGGCATCACGCTTTGACTTACTTCTAATTTCAATGTGATTTTATTGGCCTAAGAGATCTTACTATATCTCTCCACGCAAATCTGAAAGGTGGTGAGGGACAAAAAAATACTCATTTCCAGAAGAATGTGAACAGGCAAAAATACCAACTTGCCTGCATTTCCCCCATCTCCATTTTGTTTAAATAAATGGAGATTGTTTAGTCCTTGTTGTCACTGTTGCTTATTCTTTCACTCCAGTCACTTAGTGTTTATTCGTATAATAAGACCCCAGCTGAGTTCAGAGCATCATTGTGCTAAACTTCATTCAAAACAACAAAAGAAGGACTGTCCTGCCCCCAAAACACTCCCATGGAGTAGGCTGGGGGTGGAGAGAGAAGGTGAATGAGGTTCGTTTTGCAAGTAGGCGCAGTCTGTATCAGGGAGAAAAGCGATATTAAGCACCATGCACCAAAGCGATGGTAGCCTGGAAATTTGCAGCCTGGGCTGGTGAGCTCCTGCTCAGCACCAGATCCCAGAGCACTGAGTCTCTCCCGTTCGAGTGGAGGTTTAGGCTTTGTTTTGTAACTTGATTAATCAGAAATAATGTCAATTTTAGATCGAAAGCGGCTAACTCTGGCAGGTTTGGTGTGTTTTCTAGAGGGTGGCTCAATAGCTACAAGTGCACACCTATTCCCAGGGAGGCGAATAAAAACCTGTGTGCTCGGAGATGGGTGGCACAGTAAGAATTATTATTATCTGCAGGTCTGTTACTTAGAGGGAAGTGTGTAATAGCTGCATGTGTCTCTGCACTGCTGCATGAATCAACAGGGTGTGAGACCTGTTCCTAAACCTTTCATTTCTGCCGAGGAGAAAGATATGCCCAAACTGTGCCCCGAAAGGGTAACTTCATGCTTTTGGCATGCTGGCAAGTTTACAGCTCCTCTGTTTTTCATGCCACTGATTAAATGGAGACCTAGATAGAGGCTACTTTTTATAAGGCTCTTTTGGTGAAAGGAAGGGCTTTTATAAATGAAAAGTTCCCTGTTTGTAGCTCCCCTCCCACCCTCCTTTTGGCTGGGAATCTGGTGAGGGTGTTGACACACAACATACTTTGGCAGATGTTAGAACAGGCTTCAATTAGGAGGCCAATGTACACAACTGTCCTTCTCCTGTTTTGAAATCGCAGCTGTGGCGATGTATATCAGCTAAACATTTTCCATTTGGGAGGCTTGCTGCCATCCAGTTTAAAATCGCCCTGTGAGTGGGCTTGCCAGATCTTGCTAGGGTTTTTTTGCCCCCTCTCCTGAGCATAATGCTGAGGAATGCAGAAAGCCAGTGAGTTTGTGGGACTTAGGGACAATTTCTGTTTCAGTGCACAAACAGTTTTCAGTTGAAAACAGGGAGCCCAGTTTACCTGTAGAGGAATCCCAGTTTAAATCGTGGACGGGATATTCTTGAAGAGCAGAGGACATGAATCAGCCAGTTAAAACTACTCTGCAGCTAGAGTTGCAGCTGAATAAATACGTTGCCTTGCTAAACACTGGTCTTTGATGGAGTACGCCAGATTCTGCTTGCCCTGTTCAAAAGGATGACATTTTTGTTAAGCTGTGACAATACGAGCATGTCACACACCTGCACTGGTGTGGAGCTGAAACAAAGTGCTGCTGGAAGTGTGCAAAGGACCCCTTCTGCTTAGAAATCTCAAATGCTGCGTTCCACCCGCAACACTTAAATGAAAACTGTTGGGTGCAGAGAGCTGAGCTTGTAAGAAAGGGCAGCAGACTTGGCCTGGAGACTTTAAAACGTACTCATGATGGAAAAAGCAGTGTAAGTGATGCTTGGTGTAAACTGCCTAGAGACTACAGAGATTGGCACAAGTCTGGTATTCAGCAGGTCTGAAAGCCTTCAGCTGCAGCGAAGTCTTAAGAACGAGAAGAAAGAAGGTGGTAGTAAGGGAAATAGTCCACGAGCAAGCACTGCAGCATCCCACGTGTCCTTTCCTAGCATGGCCAGGAACAAACTCCACACCTGCAGTCAGCAGTGGAAACTTCCATTGCTTATTTTTCCCCTAGTCGACTTTGGAGGTACCTGCAGCTGCCTTCACCAGGGACCCAGCCTGGAAGCTGCAGTAGATCGTGGTGAGGCACATTTGCCCCGTGCATGGAGGAGTCTGCTCCTGGGGTCTGCCAGTCTGGCAGAGATGCTGTGTTACTCCCAACGATGAGGTGGCTCTTGGTTCAGCTGCAGAAAACCACAAGGATCCCCTAACTGACAGTCCCTTGGCTTCCACTCTTGCCTCCATGATCTAACCTGACGAAGTCATGTAGAAGGTGGCAGGAGATGACATCACATCTGGCAGATAGATTCCAGTGCACTCTTGGTAGCTTAAGATGTTACTCACCCAGCTCTGCTCTGGCTTCTGCTGGAGGTGACCACCCTGTACCAAAGGTCAGCAGAAGGGAACACATTCTCACACCTAAACTAGCGGTTTGCAAGCGGTTCGCAGTCCAGTTTAACCCAGCCCCACCAAACTGATGCCAACACCAGGCTTTGCACTGAAACAGCTGAGGAGCAAGCAGAGGTTTCTGTCACCCACCTCTGCTGCAGATCAGCAGCATCTAGCAGAATTGCTCAGCGTGTTGGTAAAGGTCTTAAACTGCAGCTGTAGAGTCCTCCAGACCTTGTCTGTTAAATCATTTAGTGCAGGTACAGGAGACTGACCCCAGGAACACTTCTCTTTCCTGGAAAGCAGGGTCAGCATAGCCATAAGACTGTCACTGCTTGAAGAGACTGATGTCTCCAACAAGACATGGAGCAACTGGGGAGACTGTGCTCGCTGCCATCACGGACAGTGACCCGTGTGTCAGCCTCTTGTTACATGACATCTCGCCGGCGATTTAGCAGGAGGTGACTGGCCGTGCTGTGCTCCGAGTGAACTGACAGTAAATTGCGTAGTCTGTATTCATGGCTTACAATGGTCCCTATCACATTAGGTTTAGCCATGACAGCTTTTCCTGGCACACCAGCCTGTTGTTTATGGCATGACTCAGTCTCAGCTGGCTTAGCGAGAAGGAGAGCAAATGTGTTACCCTGCCTGCTGCCCTCTTATATTGGTGTCACTGACTCCCTACCTAAAATTGCTGCTGGAGAACAGACGCTGCTTAACGTTTTGTGGGGAGTATCCACCTTCAGGTGCATCCTCTGATGTCTGTGAATACTCAAATGACTAAAAATACAGACAGGATAAATTCATTTGTTCCTTGTTTGTAGAGGACCTGAGGGTCTCAGAGTAGCGTACAGAGTCCCAGTGGCAGGCAGGACTGAGACCAACTCCTCCAGCTCCTTCCTGCCTCTCCTCTGCAGCCGTCTGCTTTAGAGAGAGCTTCCACCCCGCTTCTTTGGGTTAGCCTCCTCTCCCCAGTGCCGTGGCCGAGGACACAAGCCACAGATGAATGCAGACAGACAAGGGGCTGCAAGGCAACAAAGAGCCTCTGGCTGGCAGCATCCCGAGCACCAGCCTCCAAGCCCCAGAAGCCTGACTCTTCCTTGGTATCTGTGGGTATTGTTCTAAAAAGGAGAAAAAAATTTTCAAGCAAAGATAACTGGGCATACTGGGAGGAACCTGCTGCGAGCCGTGAAGCTGCCCCTCTGTCACAGCCCAAGGGACTTGTGCAAGCAGGGAGCAGGGCTGCAGCGGCATGAGTGTGGCACTGCCCCATCGCAGGGAGCAGGGTCCCTTGCAGAGCGATGCTTGTTCTCCCTTGCCCAGCCCTGCGGGAAACTGGAGGGCTCTTCCTGCTGCCTCCTTGGGAGCATCTTTCCACGAGTCCCTTTCCCTCACCATCCATTGGGTCTGTGTTCGGTGGCCGCAGCGGTAGGTCAGTGTTGCATGCCAAAGGGACATCTCAGCTTCTCATTAATGACGAACCATCCCCCCAAGGCTTTGCTCTGCCCTGCCGCAGCGTTGCTGACACCAGCACTTAGTCACAGTCTTGGAGGCTTTATTTGGAGGCTGAAAATGAGGCACAGAAAGTGGCATTGGAAGAGGAAGCTTGAAGTGAAGCAGGAATCCTTCCCTTGAACAGCATGTACGGAGATTTCTAAACCCTGGTGCAGGCTGCCAGGTCTTTGCCAGGCAGTGCAGCAGCTCAGCTGCTCACAAGTAGAGCTTTCTCATAAGCTTTTATAATCACAAAGCTTTGGGGCAAAATCGTTTCCAAACAAAAAAAGTTTTTAAGCACTCTCCAAAACAGGCCTGCTTGGACTAAAACAAAATCTGGCTGTCGCTCTGTTTTGGAGCCTTGCCTTCCATTAGGTTCCCTGGTTAGCGTGGCCCTTCTGTGCCCCAGACAAAGGGCTCTTTTTGCAGAGGGCTGCGGTTCAGGCCCTAACCTCTCCTCTGAACTCTCAGGAAGACATGTGGTCCCGTCACCTTATGTGCAAACTAATCGAATAAATAATCTTTCCCCAAATTGCTTCTTAACTCCTTGCTTGCCATGCTGATTGTGAGGGTCTGGCATGTTGTCGCTGTGATGTGCAGATGTAAAACCATGGCATTGAAATGAGGAATAAATGCAGAAGGGAAGGGCAGTTGGTTTCTAGCTAAACAGCAGGAGTGGGTGTAAGGAGATCAGGCTTTAGTTCTGCAGAGTTTCTGATGGTACCTTCAGAAGTTGCTGAGACCCAAAACAGTTGCTGCTTTGTTGTGCCATAAACAAAACAGGGAGCTGCTAAGAGCATTCGACTGTCTGTCACCATTAGTTTTGTCACCCTCATTTTATACAGTCCCTGTTTTATATAGACACTGCTGTGATTTCCGAATGTGGGGCCTCATTTACAAAAAGGTTGGGACTACAACTGCTCTTAAAGGCGATGGGAAGTTGCGGAATACCTATAGGATGTTAAATACCCGAAAAAACTATTCCAAACAAGATCCCACTAGTATATGTTTTGAATGAGCCTCTCTATAGCTCGCTTCCCCACCTGTAAGAGGTGGATAATTTCAGTTGCTCTGAAAAGTAATCTGTGAAGACCCCAGATATTGTAGTGATAAGCAGCAAAGAAAAGATTCTTGGGAGAATCAGTAATTCTGTTTTCAGGGCAGGGCTTGAGCAGAGTACAATCAATAAGACATATTGACCCACAACGATAAAACACATGATGGAATAGCTCAGTAAGAAGTGCCACCCCTGTCATTAGGGACGGTGCTAGGAGGAACACGCACAGCACGCTTAGTTACGACTACCCCAGCAACATTGGGATTGTCTAATTTTTAGGTGCTTGATTTTGCAACTTTGATGATGGTTCTTTAGCACAAGAGTATTTCTGTGTGCCTGTGCAGTGCGGATTAGGGCACCGCATGGAGCTATTTGGATCCAAACCGGTCTGTCATAGAGCCACCTGTAAAGTAAAGATGATATTTCTCTGCCCTGAAGCTTACGTCGGAGTAAAGCTACATAATACTGGTGAGGCGCTCAGAGAACACAGCAGTGAAATAAATAACACCCTACCTATTTTTTGTGCTGCGGTCAAGAAGAGATTCAAAACACCAAGCAAAGCCATGGGAGTGCCCTGGAGGAAGGGGAGGGCTGGCTGGCTGGAGGACAGGCCATACAATCACCCATCACTCCCTCCTCATTTGTGTCCCATGCTTCTTGCCAGCTCCCTCTTGTACGGCCGACTCTTCCCTTCTTCTTGGGACAGCTGTTCAAACCCCAGAGAGTGTCTGTCTGTAGCGTTCACTGCTGTATTTCTTCATTTGCAAACAGAAAAAGAGATGGTTAATTTTTTTCACTTACATTGCCCTTATGCCTCATCAGGTCCATGCTCAGCTGAATCGAGGTTAGTGCAGCTAAGGTCAGAGCCCCAGATTCCCGTATCAGTTCTGTTCTGCGGAGCCGCAGGAACGGGGAAGCAGGCAGAGCCCACTGCACCCAGCCTTCCCATTGCTTGCAGCCTGGGGGAAGTTGGAGATAAAGTACCTTACTGCATCCAAACCAGCCCAAAATGACTTGGACTTTCAGTTTGACTATACACAGTGTGACCATTCGCTGTACAACTCACTGCCGCTCTAAGAGCTATTCCAAGTGTTTGACAGAAGCAAGCAACTCTTACTTTCTTACTACTTCAGTTACTAGTTGCAAAAATAAAACTACAGCAACAAGCTGTTCAGCATAACAAAATCCTGTTCATGGGAGCTATGAAGTGAAGTACTTGCCAAAGCACAAAGGAATCTGTAGTTTAAACACAGGCTGGAGCTGGATGTTATATAGAAACTGAAGTGATACACAGAGAGCAGGGAGCTACCCCTCTGGTCCTGACAAGGAATGCCTAGGCAAAAATTGTCTCTCTGCTCTTTCAGGTTCATGATATCAAGTTTCAAGCTCCAACTTTGGAAGAAAAGGAATCGTGGATAAAAGCTCTTAATGAAGGGATCAATAGAGGTAAAAACAAAGTATTTGATGAGGTAAGAGAAACAGTTTTCAGACTCCTGTATTTTGCCTCAGTTCTCATCCATTGCTTTTTTTAGCTAAAAGCAGAACTTGCCTGAGCCCCTGTGGTCCCTGTCCTTCCTGTGTGCCAGCCATGGTCAAAAGAAAGAGAAAGACGGTATCCAAGGCAGTCCAGGTTGCTTCCCCGCAGGCTGGGGAAGCTTCAGTTCCCAGCTCAGGAAGGTAGAACACATAGAGAGCCCTTTGCACTCTCCTACATCTTCCTGACTTTCCCTCTCTCCTGGCTGGGGTTAGATTCAGGGAGGCAGGGGCAGCTGGTTGAGTAGATGGTGTGCCGGCGGGATGGTCTGTGCTACTCAGAGTTAACATCTCATCAAGAGGCCCACAGGACAAAAGAACTCACCAAAGTCAGTGGGAGATGGTCTGGTGGCTTCAGTGGGCTTGGGATCAGCGAATGCATGGGACTTCCCTGCTGCCGATGGAAGTGGCTGGGGCAGAGAAGCAGCTGCAGCGCTGAGTCGTGTAAAGCTGGGGCTGCAGCCTGGAAAGACTCGTCTTCGCCGTGCTGCCATGATCCTCAGCACCAAGCAGCCTGGGAATGGAGGAATTTGGTTAGGACACAGCCCAGTCTTCAAGACTGAAAAAATCTGAAGTGACTCAGTCCACCAGCTATTCCGCTATTCCTTGGAGAGAAGACTGGTGGAAAGTTACTCCATGACCCTGGCCAAACCTGCCTGCCTCTCAGCTGGCCCCAGCACACCTGCACTCCCAAATTCTCCTCCCATCCTGCTACACGGAGGGAATGATGAAAATTGCACATCCTAGAGCCTGACTAACCTTGCCCTGTTCCCTGTTAACTTGTAAATCAGTCCTGAAGTAAAACAAAGGAGCAACCTCTGTTCTGCCGTTGCTTCAGTAACTGAAAGGAAGCGCACAAAACCACTATCATGGGAATGTCACAAGAAGGAACGGGCAGGGCAACGAGGGGATGAAGCAATCAGCAAGATCTGTTTAGCAAAGGAAACCAAAGCAATGAGTAAAAGTTTTGAGAAAAGGGCTAAGCACTGCAGACACAGTGCTAGAGATGCAAACTCTGAGAGCTCAGGCTTTGCTTTTATTCAGCAGAGGGCAAAAGCGGGAGGAGAGGCTGGAACATGCTCCTTTTTTGCCTAGGCAAATGGCACTCAGTGGGATATAGTGGTTCCTCAGGCCCAAGTGGGAAGCAGCACATGGAATTAAAGGGACCATCTGGGACCAGCAGCAGCCTGAGAAGATAAAACCCAGCAGCAGAGAGCTCAGCAGCCAGGTCTGCTCTCACGTTTCACCGGGTGGGAGATGTGATGTCCTGTAATGCAATGCTGCTCAGCCCTTGCTGGAGTGACCCCCCTCAGGGTCGGAGCTGCCTGGAGGGGCATGGCACGTGGCTCTCTGGTGGGCACTGAACTCTGCACATCCTTTCGGCAGCACGGCAAGGTGGGATCCCAGGTCACCTCCCTGCCCTGTGGCCTCAGGTTATCCTCCTTATGAGGACCTGGGTTCTCAGAAGAAGCCAGCTTCTAATTCTCATTCATTCCAGTAAGGATCAAAGCTCAGATTTAAAGCGTTTCTGCACAGGCCAGGCACAAGCTACTGCGTCAAGCCCTCAGCTGGCTTGGATTAGCTGTTCTCTGCTGAAAAAGCTGTAGAACCACTCTGCCATATCAGCCAGGGATTGGGAACCAGTTTTCCCTTTAAATCCCCATTTTACCCTCACCAGCTTTCCTATTGTACAAACTTGTGGTACGAAGGCTAGCAAACCAAGGACACGCTGATGGTTCACCATCCCCACTCACAGGTGCTGCCCCTCTGCATGGAGCGGGCTCCAGCCCTCAGCCATCACAGCATGGATGGGTGGGCGGTCACAGAGCCAGCACAGAGAAATACCTGCCGGGGTGCTGGAACCTCCTTCCCCACGCGTGGGAGGCAGTGGATTTCTCATCTGAGTCCAGGAAATAAACTTGTTAATTCAGCTAGAGTTGCAATTAATCCAGGTCACTGCTCACACCTTCTCTTCAGCATCCTGCAGTCATTAGAGCTGTGGAAGGGAAGGTCTATGACGAAGCGCTGCTGATACAGTTCACAGTCAGGTCACGGTTATTAATGAGCTTTCACCTCTAAGACGGCAACAGCAATATCAGCGCTGTGCTCTGCCACATGCAGGAGCCGGTCCAAGGCCAGGCTGCAGCGAGGACAACAACGCTGCCTTGTGTCCTTCCTTCCCTGCCCCTTAGGTAGAGGGGAGGTTAGCCATCGCAAATCTCTGAAGGTTGGATGTTTTGCTTTGGAGTGTCTGTTAGATAAACACGGCTCTATATAGGACAGATGCCTTAAATATCCATCACGTACATGCAGGGCTTTGCAGGCAGGTTGTAACTAAGGTCTGAGGCAAAGACTGTAGTGGTGAAATATTCATCCAAATGCTGCATCCCTTCATGTGTGACAGTGAGAACTTTATAGACATATCTTGAGAAATTAATGACTCTCTTCCTTTTAAAAAAAATTAAAGGTGAAAGTAGACGAGAGCCTTTCCTTGGACCACGTAACTCGGGACAGAGTGAAAATGACCCATGGGCGCAGGCCACCCACGAGAAGTCACCTAAAGGAGGTAAGTGCTCCCCTTGGGGTGAGCCATCTCCCCAGCTGGGATCACCAAGAGCTGCTCCTTCCACTTAGGTACAAAAACCCAGGGAAAACCCCAGGTACAGACAGCCCAGAGAAAGCTGCGAAGGGAAACAGCTTCCTCCGGGAAAGACTGCGCCAGCACCTCTCTAATGAAGCTCCAGGTTCCCATAGATCTGTAGCTGCTGCAACACGTTACGATGTATTTAGCCTTCCATAACTCACGAGCTGCTTCACCGTCTGGTGAAAGCCGTTATAGTTTCACTTTAATCAGAAGAGACTGAAGCTGCTATATTTATTTTCTAAGAAGTGACGATTTTGTAGCCACATTGGTCTAAAGGTAGAAGAATTGCATGGTCTGTGGGGAGAAGCTGTATTTTTTATTAAGCTAACTGGAAAAAGCAGACAAGAGTTCAAGCTTACAAGCCCCTCCTTAGGTCTGAAACAGAATACATTATTCTCCCAGGCAGTTTTATGGACTAACCTGTCTACTCTTAACTGATTTTCTGGACCTGTCACTTGAGAAAAAAAAAAAAAGAAAAAACACCACAAAATAAACCTGCAGTTCATTTCCATGGGAGAGGTTCTTACTAACATTTGATTCCTGTGATTTATGAAAAAGTTTCCACAGACAGATTGATATTTTAGCAGAGCATTAATCTCAACCAAGGAAGGTTTTTAAATCAAACCTTCTTTCTTCAGACTTCCAAGACTCTGACTTATGTGCCTGCACAGCACTCAGATGACCCTCGTGCAGAAAATGAGATGCCCCGACACTTTTTACTTTGCATAGAAATGGAGGGAGAGTGTCTCTTCCAGAGAAATGCATGAGAATGATTCATAGATTCCTATCCACTCCTCCAAAAAACTGCAGAAGAAAACATGACAAAAGTCACAGCAGCAATGAAGTGTGGATTCTCTGTTGCCTAATATGGGTTCGGTAAGGTAGGAAGCCCTTCCCTAGGCACTAAAAAGATCTCTCTCCCTTGCTCAGCTCACAGTTTTCACAAGATACCTCCGAGGGTAATACCTGTAAGGTGTCTCACTTTCAGCCAAATTCAAGGGAAACTGGTTTAGAAATTCAGAAGCAG